ACCTGAAATAGTTGAAAAAGTTGAAAAGTAAAACAGCAAAAGAAATAGCACAAAGTAGGAAAAGAAGTAGAACATTTTGATATATGAATTGTTTAAATTGATTAAAGTTTGCAGAAGGCCTTTGTAGACAGTGAAACCAGAAAAAGCAGAACAAACCAAAAGAACCTGAAATATTTGAAAAAACTGAAAAGTAAAACATAGCAAAAGAAATAACAGAAATTAGCAGAAGCAGAAGTTAGTATAAAACCTGAAATAGTTGAAAAAGTTGAAAAGTAAAACAGCAAAAGAAATAGCACAAAGTAGGAAAAGAAGTAGAACATTTTGATATATGAATTGTTTAAATTGATTAAAGTTTGCAGAAGGCCTTTGTAGACAGTGAAACCAGAAAAAGCAGAAGGCATATCAGAAAAGTAGACAAGCAGAATGCTGACACACAGATAGAAAGAGCACAACAGAGAAATACATCGAAAGAATAGGAGAAGGTGTGACATGTCTGTACTCAAGAAGAGTTTGACAGAAAACAGTGAGACCTGTAGCAAGATAGTAATACCCTTGTTTTTTGTGGGGGCTGCGTTCCGAAAATAACCCGTGATAAGTGAAATCCGTGAAGTAGTTACCTTTAGTTTTTACAATTATTATACAGCATAATTAAATACTCTACATTGAAACCAAAGAACAAAACCTGTTTTCAGGTCAGCGGGTGTGTGTTCATCAATCGGGCCTTAATGTGATCCGGAGTCATGTCATTAAAGCGTCTCCTCCAACCTGCCCTGCGAGATTCACAGCTGTATCTACGACAGAGCGATGGAGCTCGTCAAGCGAGCCTCCACTCGGGTATGTAGAGAATTCCACCGTAGGATTACATTGTAAACCTGGAAACAATCAGCAATTTGCATAAAACTTATAAATCACAAGTGTGGAAAAACCATAAGAGAAATCTGAAGAAAAAAAAAAAAGACATTTAAATATAGTTTAAAGACTTGTGACTTGTTTAAAAGTTGAATGGAGTTTCTAGGTTAAAGTGGGCAGAAGTAGTAAGCTGTGAAAAAGCAGAAGATTTTAACAGAATTTTGTAGAATTTCAATGTATTTCAATGGGGCTGAAATTTGCACAAAAGCACAAATATTTCAAAAAGTAAAATAGTGAAGTTTAGCAAAAGACATCACAATAATGTCCAGAAAAAGCAGAATGTAGCACATTTGACGTAAATTCCGTTATTTTGCCACTATCTAGGCACCCACTTTTCAAAACGTCTCTTCTGCCACCAGCCAATCACAGCACTTTGTGCTGTCTGATCCCTTGCACACGGTGCATTTTAATATTTTGTTAATACAGAATTAACCAACAAGCCTCCCTCTCAAAGATGGAAAAGTAATAAATCTTTTTAAATTAAAAAGCAGCGTCACCTGCACCAGGCCGCACATTTCCTGGTTAAAAACTCATTATAATTGGTTGTCTGCCATCTATTTATCAGCTGTATCAAGACAGAGGTCTTAATGTGAATGCATAATTCATAATTGAATTTAAAAAATCTGATTTTTGAAAGAGGCTGAAAAAAATTCACTAACCAGGTTTATGAATGCTCGACTGCTTCCTAATTGCTACACAATTATCACATGTAATGAACAATGTGAACTCTTAAGTAAGTAATTGTAACACAAGGAAACCTGAGCTGACCTCTAAAATGTCCTCCTTGACGTGCAGCTTTGTGAACACTCATCCAAATGATGATTCAATTTAAATGCTTGTTTAATCATGCCAAATAAGCACAGTCTTGTCATTTCCATTTTTATTTGCTGATTTGTTTTTACATCTTGTTTTTTTTTTAAACCATACCACATGAATCATGTTCCAAAAGCTAATCCAGCGAAGTGGTTCAGCACAAATTGGGCATTATTTCTTATTGAATACATGCATATCAATGAGGTAGGGTTATTCTCATGTGGGGAACACAACAGTTTGTTGTGCCATGAATCTCCTTATCTTGTCCTTCTGTCTTAAAGCTCGGGCTCACACTGGAGGAGAAGCAGTAGCAGTGTGCTTCTGGCTCACTCGCCAGAAGCACAGGTGGCAGCAATGTAGGCCAGTCCCCCAGGCTCTTGTATCTGAAAGTTGTGTGTCTTGTGTCCATATGGCTGCTTGTCCCGCCTTTCTAGCAGACACCGCTGCCTCTTCTCAGTTCTGATCGTGGTTAGCTATGGTTCCGCACTTCTGCGCCATATGGAAGATGTTGTAATGTTTGTTTTTCAGCGACATTCCCACTATTAGACTGATAGTACCGATCTATCCCAGTAGACCCGTTCTTGTCAGCCCCCCCAGGTGACATGAATTGGGTCGGGAGATAAATTGGTGCCAGGTGGGGATGTTTACATCTTCCCTGCCTTGTGGAAGGGTCCGGATTGTGTCACAAGCCGTCCCCAGGCGGGGGGGCTCTTGAATGTGACACAGTAGGTAGGGAAGAGACCGTCCCTATTAAAGTGAATTGCAATGTGGTTCAGTGATTCTAAATAATTATGTATTGATCCGTCAGGTTCACACAGTGAGTGTCACCCTGTTTTAAAGCAGGGAACAGTAATGATCGCACAGGTAAGCCGATTCTGGCAAAGGCCAAAGTTCACAGATCAACTAGAAGTCAATTTTTTTTCTGTGAAAACAAGACAGATTACACACAGAGAAGATTTGGATTAACAACGGAAACTGTCATCTTTGACATTTTGTCTTTTTTTTCCTCGACCTCTGAGTGAAAAGAAATTGAGATTGTTTTCGGTTTTTTTCAATCAGAAGTTTCTGTCTTGCAGGTCAGTGCTGGAGGAGCCATCTCCCCACAGTCACCCTCTCTACGGCCATGGCGTCTGCAAGTGGCCTGGGTGCGAGGCTGTTTTTGATGATTTCCAGTCATTCCTCAAGTAAGTAAAGCACCGCAGTCAGAGGCATGTTTTCTGTCTCAGTTTGTTTGTCTTTTTTTAGGGAGCGGGGGGGTCGATTACATGTTTTGTGACCCCTGGCTACTCAGATGCACTGCAGGTGCAGCCGGTTGTTATTCCTCAGTCTGGGTTAGCCTGCTCTTGAAAAGGGCAATGCGGTGGGGACTCCTTCTGGGAACTGCATGGGCCTCTAATTCCTGTGATAAGTGCAGTTCCCATGGTGACCAGGGGCCATTTTTCCCAAACAAACAACGGTGGGATGTTTATCTGTGGCAGCTCGCGCTCAGGGAGCCCTGCCTGTTTGCCCTTGTCACCGGTCAGAGGGAGTGCTTTCCAAATTTTTATTTTAGTTTGCCCTTTGTTTGGCTCATGAATCTCCTGCCTTCCATCTGAGCCTTAAGTTTTTTTTTCTGTTTTTATTTTATTGTTTTTTTTAAACCACAAAATCAATACCAAACCAGAGTTTGCTTTGGGCTTAGCAGGTCCTGGCACTGAGGCGGTCCACAAGTGGGCCGCAGTATTTTTGTATTAAAAGATGTTAAGTTGACAGGAAATGTAAAAGTATTACTGGATAATTATGTTACTGGAAGATATTGCAGACAATACTTAAACCCACAACTATAGAGTCTTGAAAACAACAAACCAAAAAAAATACAATTTAAACACAGACCACAGATATGGAAATGTAGTATTTGTTTAATGAGAATATCAGTGATGTTATCTGTGCTGTTCCAGCATAGATAAATTAAAAGATTTTAAGTGGTTTAACATTTAAATTTAAGATTTTGAGGAGCTGGCAAGTTTGCTTTGTAAAAGTTCAAGGAACAATCTTCATAGTTGGATTGTTTTGTTACCATAGCAACTATTTGATGCTGTCAGTTTAACTTTTGAGTTTGAGCTCTGCTTGCTCACAAATACATCTCAGCAAATTACAGTTATTACTGATTGTTTTTAAGATTTGTCAGTTAAACAATGCCCCCATGTCTCAGCTTTCCCTAAATCCATGGTGAAATGCTGTTGGTGGTGCTGATGCTCTTAGCAGCAAAAGGGGCCCATATGTCAAATCCTGCTCAAGGCCTCATACAACCTTGGACGTGCCCTGCATGATGCGCTAAATCCACTGTACTGTACACCTCTGCTGGATACAGAGGGACAAATGGAGAGATTTAATTTATGTGGCTTTAGTAGCTCTCTTTGTGTCTAGTGAGTTTTTAATAAGGGCCACAGAGACTGTTTAGGTTGCTCGAGCTTTTTTTTTGGGGGGATCTCCATGTGCCGCAACTCTGCCTGGCTGTAAGTAAACAAAGGATTTGATGTGACGCCTTTTGATGCATCGTGTTGCTGCAAAAATTACAAAAATAATGATAAAAGAATAAAACCAGTGTGCTGCAGGACTATGAGGCGAACGCGAAAGCTCCTCCACAGGCTGAACCCGACTCACTAACGCACTGCCTAACCGGGAACGCATACATAAACTTTTATCAAGACACAGACACATGCTAGGCAGCATGTGAGATGTAAACGCACATACCACACATAATTCCTTGTGCACAAAGATATATCATTCTCACTGCACTCTCAACACGCCTACATAAATTAAAACAATTTAATTTATGACTGATTGTTTTTCTCGTGTCTGTCTCTCTGTCTACTAAAGAGAGAAAGTCATTGATTCAGTCCAGTGTATAGGTCTCATCTAGCCCCTTTTTTGAAAGACAATTTTATTTACAGAGTTTCTATTTTATTTATTGTTTTTGGTGTTTTTGTTTTATTTATTTTGGATATTTAAAATGTGTTCTAGTGCCAGAGTTAGTTTGTTAGAAATGTTGATCCTTCTTCGAGAGAAGATCAACAAGCATTATTACGCCATTTCCATTGTACTACTTGAAAATGGTCTTAAACCAAAAACAGTATTGTTTATTGCATACTATCGTATATTACATTTGCTGGACAATTTATTGTCCTGCAAATGTGTTAACATGACAGGTCTGCCTCTCTAACTAATCCTTTCTTTAAGCAATTCTATAGCACTTTGTGTTGTTGTATCGAATATAATCCCCCTGAAAAATACACTAAACTTGTACACACAGAGCTATAGTCCAGTCTGTTAGCATCTTTGCAATCTGTACTGTATCAGTGATGCGACTCTGTTCAGCCTAACATGCCTGCCTAGTTCCTGGTTTACTGATCAACCTGGTAACCCAATACACAACAATGCCATGGTTACAGGAGAAGGTGAAAACATCTGCACCAGCGGCAGCAGATCAATGGCTTGCTGTCGCCTCATATTAGTTGCGCCTTAAGCAAAACATGACATGATTCTGTTATCCAAAAACAAACTGTCAGCTCATAGAGAAAGTTATTTCGAGTGGCGAAAAAACGTGTGAACTTCCTCAACATCTTGAATCTTCTTTTAATCGTTTTCATAAATCCTCTTTGAACCTCCTTATCACGTCAGAACGTACAGTCGCCTCAGTTCCTGTCTCAGGGAAAAGAAAATCTGTCTATGTGTTCTTACTTTCATTTAATAAACATCCTGCAATACATAGTTATTAAAGCATGTGCTCATGTTTTTCCCACAAAGACAGGCACACTTAAAATCAGGGAGTGTCGGTTTAAATCTATCAGTATTTATTGTATTCTGACATTGCCTCACCCTTTGTTTATAGAACTAAGGGAGAATTAAAGTTGGTGTGCCCGGCAGAGCTCTGCCTGGAAAAAAAACAACAAAAAAAACTAAGTGCACTCAGCTCTTGTTTTTACAAGTGTTTTTATCATGGCAACATCTTGTTTACTTTAGTTGCCTGTTCAAACTGCTTGGAACATGTTAAGAAAACATTTGGGAGGAGAGTCTCCACAAAGCCGCCTTTGTTCGACAGTATGAGCGGCTCACCAAGGTGTTAACGCTCAAAACCTTAAGCGCTTCCACATGAAACCTGGCAACCGACACCGCTGCAGGCCTCTGACAAAAAAAAAGGATTCCAAATCAAAAACAAAAAAAGGAGTACATCAGACATTCTAATGCTGCTTCAGACGTCTCTCAAGGTTGGAAGTCCAACCGGAGAGAGACCGCGGCGGCGCAGAGTCAGCGGAACGCCGTGGAGATGGAAAGATGAGGAGGAGCTCCTAACGTGGAGCAGATTTCAGTGCGCACGCCAACAGCAACAACCAACAGTGGAACCGAATGTTGCTTTAAACAGCATGTGTATTTGTTTTATATGTGAAGGAAAACATGACATACCTATGCTGACTATCTTGATAAAAATGAAAGCTCTCAATCCGTCCACACCCCCAACCCCCTATGTTCCAGGTGGGAGGGGACGGGGATCCGAACCCGATGGGGTTTTCATTGAAGGTCAAGACCCCTTTTCTCTGTAACGTCCAGTTAGAGGTCAGAGAAACACTACAGTGCCATCTAGTGATAAGAACCACATAAAAACTTCCCGATTCAAAACCAGTGAGCTTTTTCAGCCTAGCAACTCTGAAAAAAAAATCTAAATAAACCCAGTTGAAAGCAAAAACTTAACATTTTAAAAAGGAAATTCTGCTGCATTTAAAACCTAATACCTCTGTATAGTTGTGTGCATTTAATTTAAATCCCAGCCAGTCAGCAGTAAGGAAGATAAAAACGTTCCTCAGAGTTGGCTTCAAACCCGACGCTCTGGCTCATAAGAGAGAGAGGAGAGAGAGACAGAGTTTTTGATTTTTAATAATTCATTTATTTTTCAATAAATAAGTATCACAGCCAATAGAACAAAAATCAAAGAAGCATATTTGTACCATAGAATAAATCCATCCAAAAATTTGTTCTCCTTCTACCACACTACAAATTACTTCTCTAAGTATCTAAGTCTGAGACTGATCTATAAAAATTAAATTCAAGCAATAGCCTAATAACCATGTTAACAAATAAAGAAACCACATCAATATTCAACTCTTCCTCCACCTTCCTCTTTCTGCTTATGTACACAGCTGTTTTAGCCTGGCCTAAATAAAAATGTATCAATTGACATTTACTCTTTCACTGCCTGTAAATTTAAAACCACAAATAAATATATGTTGAAAACTTCCCTACAACTGTTGAAGATGATCTCAAAAGCACAAAGAGATGATAGACGAACAGTCAGAAAAACACTGTTTCTCTATGTTCACAATAAATAAATGGAGATTTTTTTCTCTACAGCAGGATTAATAACAGAAAAAATGTGGTAACACTTTATTTGAAGGGGTGTGAATAAGACTGACATGAAACCGTCATAAACATGACATAACTCCTGTCATGAACATCAGTAAGTCTTCATGAATATTTATGACTGTTGTCATGAAGTGTCATTCAGTAAATCATGAGACCTTTAATGCAATGTTGACATTATTCAAAATGTCTTCGTTATGACAACTTGACATTAACCAAGAATCATGTCATAAATATGTCATAAATAAGTCATAGTCATAATGAATTGTTATTACACTATCAAAAGCTTTAACAAAACAGCGATTAATATTCCCACTACCTGAAATAAAGCGAAACAAGTAGATTTTGTTAAGCTTTATTACACTGTCAAATGATTTAATGACAGTCAATAACATTTTCTTTTGCATCAAGTAAAGTGGAACAAGTAGCAACAATTATAAAGATGTCATTAAGTGTTATTGCAGTGTCAAATGCAATGCTAACAGAGTTATTGATATTAAGTCTTACCTCAAATGAAGTGAAACACACTGGACTACTTATAACTACCATCAACAAACCCTTTGTACATTGGAA